GGGAAATGGAGAGGGAGATGGAAATGAAGGTGGAGAGAGAAGGAGGGAGTGAGAGAGGGAGGGATAGAGGGATAGAAAAATCTTTTATAAATCTCCTATAAAAGCCAACATGCCCAAGAAAACTCCCAATCCCTTTTACGAAAGTGGGTGGTGGTAGTTTTTCAATGACCTCAATTTTAGTCTTATCTACTTCAATACCCTTACTAGAGATAACATGACCTAAGACGATGCCTTGTTTTACCATAAAGTGACTCTTTTCCCAACTTAATGTGAGATTACATTCAATGCATCTCCAAGCACACGAGTTAATTTAAGCAAACAATCATCAAAATAGTTGCCAAAGACAGAGAAATCATCCATGAATACCTCTATAAAGTCTTATATCATGTTAAAGAAGATGGATAACATGCAACTTTGAAATGTAGCTGGCACGTTACAAAGTCCAAATGGCATTCGTCAAAATGCAAATGTCCCAAAAGGACATGTGAACGTCGTCTTTTCTTGGTCTTCGGAAGCTATTGCCACTTGGTAGTTACCTAAAAGACAATTTAGAAAATAGTAAAATTCATGTCCGAGTAAGTTTATCAAACATTTGATCAATAAAAGGGAGAGGAAAATAGTCCTTTTTCGTAGCCGCATTCAATTTTCTATAGTCAATGCACATTCTCCATCATGTGGTAGTTCGAGTAGGCACTAACTCATTTTTCTCATTTCTTACCACGAGTAATGCTCGACTTCTTAGGGACTATATGAACGGGGCTTACCCATTCACTATCATATACTGGGTATATTACTCCTTCATCAAGGAGCTTGAGGACTTCCTTTTTGATTACTTCCATTATGTTGGGGTTAAGTCTCCTTTGGGCTTCCCTCATAGGTTTCGCTCCCTCTTCTAAGGTAATCATGTGCATACATGTTGAGGGACTAATTCCTTTAATGTCACTCAAACCCCAACCTATGGCCTTTCTTAACCGTTTAAGTTCCCTCACGATCTTCTCTTCCTCTTCCTCACTCATTTTGGCAAAAATAATTATAGAAAATGTCTCTCCTTTTCCTATACAATACATATTTGAGATGCTAAGACAATTCTTTTATTTCTAATGTAGAAGGGGCAATTTCCTCTTTTTTAAGACTCGGTGTTAACTCGTGGTTTCATAAATTTTCTCACTCTCTATGCTATTATCAAGTATTACATAACACTTCTTAATTTCTTCATCAATAATCTCAACACTATCATTAAGTGTGAGTGCCGGCTCCATTCTATCATCCTTACTATCCCGGAGAAACACATCGAAACTACGGAATCAATACGATCAATGAAAGAACAATCTTCATATAAAGCGAGTGGTTGGAATTGGTGTAGTGTCAAAAATAGAAAATCCTACTTGTTTCACCTAAGACGAGTCATAGTTAACTTTCCATTTTTTACCTCAATGAGAGTATTGGTGGTGGCCATGAAGGGCCTACCAAGAAGTATAGTATGCTCTCTCTCTTGTGCATTAACCTTACCCATATCCAAAACCACAAAATCCATAAGAACAATTAATCTTCCAACTTGTACGAAAACATCTTCAATTATTCCTTTAGGGTATCGAATTGACCATTTGCTAATTGCAAACATATTTTAGTATATTGTAATCTTTTCAAGTCTAATTGTAAATAAACAGAATAAGGCATCAAATTAATACGGCCCCTAAATCCAACATACCTTGAACTTCATTGCCATTACCCATAAAAACAGTTAGAATGAAACTACTTGGATCCTTCATTTTTGGTGGTAATTTATGTTGCAAAATTGCACTAGCCACCTTTGAGACAATAAAATTTTCATTAGGTTTAAATTTTCTTTTCTTGGTGCTCGGATCCTTGAAGAACTTAACATACAAGGTATGTGCCTAATAACATCTAACAAAGGTAAGTTAATATTTACCTTAGATAACATAATATATAAATCGAAAAGCGCCAATCTCGTTTAGTGTCTCTAAGCCGACTTGGATATGGAATTGGGGGCCTGTAAGGATTTATCGCTTAGTGGAGTCTAGGGGTAGAAGTTACTTTCTTCTCTTAGATTTCACAATGATGAGCAGAGTTATCATGGGCGTGACCCATGGGTGTGTCACGGTGGTCGGCGAGAATCATCATGGGCTTGACCCATGGGTTTTGCTTTATTGTTTCTTCTTAAGTCATGGCCATGTTGATTTCCTTCACCTAATGCCGTGATTTGCTCAAATTCTAACTCATAATTTATTTTTTCTCTGCGTTTTCCTTCGTGAATACCTACATCAAGTAACATTTTGTCAATTTTATTATCTCCTAATTTCCTATTGATCACCTTACAACTTCTTAAGATTGTGATGGACTTGGCTTGGTCCAGTGACTAGGCAATTTGCCTTTTTGTTAAGGTCTGCATCCGTGTTACCAATTGCCCGACTTGGGTCTCTACCCTCCTCGAGGATGCTTCCGGGGAATCAAATCTTTTATTATTGGCCTCTTGATTTTGGGTGCTTGCTTGAATAAAAGCATGCGGGGTATCTTTCAATGGGGACGTTTCCATTAGATTTTGGTTTGATGATTATCCTTGGAATTTGTTAGGCTTTTGAAAGATTTGGTAGTGTGGTTATTGTTATTCTTGTGTTGATAGGTTACTCTTTCATGCAAAATTTGGATGGTTTCTCCAACTAGGGTTATACTTGTTAGAGAAAGGGTCATTTCTAACCCTTTGTTGGAAATTATCCATTACAAAGGCTTGGTCTTCATCTCACTCGAAAAAGAATAAATGTTAGCTCTATGACCATATACCCTACATAAACCACATACCTCCCGATTTGGTGTGCCTTGAGGTCCTCGCGTGGCAAGCAACTTAACTTGCTTAGTTAATTCTACCAATTGTACAGCCATTTGGTGATTCTTACCAACCTCATAGGCAAGCTCGTTTTCCTTCCTCTAACACTCTTTTATTGAGAATTAGCTCCCAACATTTCAAACAACTCATAAGTGTCTTCTCGCTATCTTCTCTCCTATTGCACCTCTTGCTGCATTATCCACAGTGTATTGACATTGTTGTGCCAATCCATCATTGAAAAATTGATTTAAAAGTTATAGTGGATAATGATGATGTAGGCATTGGACCAACAAGAGTTTGAATCGTCGCCAAGTTTCATGGAACGACTCTCCCTCCATTTGCATAAATGTGGCAATCCCGGTTCTCAATTCGAAGTCTTTTGATGGGAGTAGAATTTACCCATGAACTTGTCATACACTTCTTCCCACGTGGCTGGTGAATTGGGTAGAAGAGTCATGAGCCATGCCTTGGCTCTATCTTTCGACGTGTAGGGAAAACATCTCATTCAAAATTGGTTTTCATTTAAGCCTTTTAGTGGAAAAGTCTCAAATGTAAAATAAAATTCCCTTACGAAGTTCAAGAGATCCTCGTTAGGTACTCCGTAGAACAACGGTAACATGTTATAATGGATAGTCTTGAGCTCATAATTTCTTATAGCCTCACCCAATCGAAAACACGAAATAGCTACACCAATGATTGGTCTAGCATATTCCTTCATCATAATTTGTCGAGTCCCCATGACTTCATTTTCGATCGGTTCATCCTCCATTGTTTCTTTGTTAATTTGCTCTTCTAGATCACTTCCTTCCTCTCTAAGTCCTCGGTCCCTCCGGATTTGTTGTATATTATTGATGAAGGGAGCCAATGCATTTCTTTGAAAGCGTCTATCATGCATGCAAGGAAGAAAAGGAAATAAGGAAATCAGCAAATTAAACTAAATTAATCAAAAGATGCTTAAACCATAAATATTGATGATTCTTTTTAGCAAAAAAAAATACGAAGATTAGAACAAAATATCACGACAATTAGAATTAAACTAAACTATAACATGTTACACCTCCCAAGCAACAACGCCAAACACTTGTTCCGCCCAAAAGTGTACTAAAAATTAATAGGCAAATACTCACAAGTATACGAGTTAATTATAGTACTAATGAGTCACCCCAAGGTTATATTCTCAAGGAGATGTTATTGGCATAGATTAATTTAATCCCAATTGCAAACAAGAACAATAAAGCAAAACCCTAAACACTCTAAACGAGTTATGATTTGAAAGTTATACATTAAAGAAAAGGAAATGCAAAGCAACTACCGTAATAGTAACAAGACTAGGAATAGAAATCAAGGTGAGAAAATTCTTGAGAAATTAACTCCGCCAATTAAATCCTATGTTTAATTAATATTCCTCAAATAGTTATTCTCACGAAAATTAGTAATCGAACATTAATTTAATTAGCTGAATACCTTCCTAACTTTCATATTCGGAAAGTCTAAAGCTTGATTAAATTAATTAATCCTTTTATTAATCTTTCTTCCCTAGATTACTTGGATTTCTCATTGATAACCTAATGCCTATAATCCTTTGGTCTAGTATTGAATTTTATCAATCGACACTAACTCAATACCACGGATATATAAATGTTGGCCTAACACTCACATATAAATAAGTCCAAAATCATAGAACGAATGGCAAGAACAACTAAGTAACCAATTTAACAAAACCTATTCAATAAACGGATCCGTTAATTCTCAAGATAGAATTGAGCCCATAATTGAAAGATAAACATCAACTTATTTAATCAAAATAAATTTCATATTTTCACAATCAAGAATTGAAAGCAATCAAATCGGAGATTTAGAAGAAATGCGGTTTGGCTCGCTTCAATTGAGGATGGTCTCCCCTACAGCTTAAGCACAAATCCTTGCCAAGTCTCTATTATCTCGTCTTCAATGGCTATAAAGAGAATAGGTGGTCTGCTGGAAAATCTACGCCTTCTCTAAGAATTTTCATCTAATTGAGAGAATGGTTGATGTGTAGATGGATGGATCGATCCCCCTTTCTTTGCATCGTTTTCCATATATAGCTTTTAGTTTTCAAAATTAAATTCGCTCAAAATTTGCATAATCTTCGCTTTTCCTTTCTTGAAAATCGCTTAACTCACTCCGTAATCTCGAAGAATAGGAAAATCGGTTGTCATGCTCGTGTGAATCAAGCCACTTCGCTGTGACTTGATAAAGGTCATCCCATGACTAAGTTGGTCATAGGCGTAAATTATCCATACTTTTATAAGGTTGATTGTGGCTTTGACTATGCTTTCTTCCTTTTTAAGAGTTAGCCGTAAGCTTTTTCTTTCCCTTTTAAGAGTCATGGCCGTGACTCTTGAGTCACTTTCCTTCATGCTTAATTGCCCTCCTTTGTTTATTTTCTTTCAATTTGGTCCTTGAATCTTCATTTCTTTTTTTCAATTTGGTCTTAAACCTAAATAAAACATAATTTAAGTCGGGATCAAAACATACTTATAACCTTAAAAATAACGACTTAATATACCCAATTGAAAAATAATAGGAGATAATGCTTGGTGTATGACATTCTTTTTCATAAGAAAAACCCATGTAGCTTGATCGAAGTCATCAACAATGGTGAGAAAATAAGATAACCCAAAATGGGATGGAGTGCAATATGGACCCCAAATCTCATAATGTACTAAATAAAAAATATTTACGAGTTTTATTTGTGTGGGTTGGAAAAGGCAACCGAGTTTGTTTGGCCCTATAACAAGTATCATAAAAGAAATCTAAAATAACACTTGGTACTAATAAAGTAGGAACTAGAGAGATACGGCTTAATGGAAGATGACTTAGACATCGGTGCCATAAAATTGTTGGAGTATGTCCCTTTGCTATAAGTGTCTTCCTCGCCTCTATTGGTTCCAAATAATATAAGCCATTTCGCACTCTACCCACTCCAATCAGCTTCCTTGAGGGTAAGTCTCGTATTATCCAAAAATTAAGATACAATTGAGATCCCGTACTAATTTATTGACATATAGTAAATTAAAATAAAATTGAGGCACTCCTAAATCTTGATCAAGGCTCAATTTGTGGTTAAGATTTACTCAACCTAAATTTTTAACAAGAATGCAATCTCCATTAGGAATTGTACTTGGAGGAATCATAAGATTTAATTAGACATCTATCATAGAATCAAGGTTACGGGATATGTGGTATGTGGCGTCGGTGTCAATAATCCATGATTCTATCTTACCAAGAGTATTGGGTAAGGCTAGATTAATGGATGGGCCAGTTGAAGGCTCATATCGAGAGCCCAATATCCGATGCATTTACTAGAGCTATTTTGTCGAGAGCTATGGAAGCTGGGCTATGGAAAAAGCTTAATGGGCGGCTACTTGGACTAGTTAGAAGCTCGTTGCTAGACCCATGGCGCCCTAAATACGATGAGCGACCTATAGCTGAATGTCTAAAGTCCTACACCAAATTAGGAGTGTGTGATATATCATAACTTGAGAGATTTCTTTAGCCGCTAGAGATAAATTGTCCAGTATTGCCGGATGTTTTCTTGGACCCATGAGCAACCATGCGTCCCTAATATGCTCCCTGCTGGCGTGGCTTCCTCCAACTAGGTGGGTATCTATAGAGTGCGTAACATGTGTCTTTGCTATGATTAGTTTTGTTACGGTGATAATAGTGAATGGGGTGCCTATCATATGCTAAATTATATTATTTAGCCATCATGGTTGTGGCTTTAATAGTCGGTGTGTGTAAGTCTACTATGTTTCTTTGCTTTTCATCTTGAGGCACCACCGCATAAGCCTTTCCAAGTCCCGGTAGAGGTTCATGACATAGTATTTGTGATCGGACCGTTCTATAGGTGTCATCTAGCCCTATTAGAAAATCATAAACATTCTCTTATTTTCGCATCCGCTTCATCTTTCGTGCTCCTCTACATGTGCGGATTGGAATTGGCCTAAGATTCCGTAGTTCATTCCATACACCTCTTAATTTTCCATAATATGAAGAAACAATTGCCTTTCTTGTTGTAAAGGGCAATTGTCCGCTCTAGCTTATACACTTTAGGTGCAATTCCCTAGATAAATCTTTTTTCAAATTCAAATCAAATTTCACTTGCAATGTCGTCGTAGGTGGCTCCCGACTATAACTCCTTGGAAATCGAGTTTAAAAGCCATGACTTAACCATGGCATTACATTGAATCCAAGCCTAAAAATCATCAAATTTTATATCGAGTTTGGTATTGATCCATCCATAAATCCGAGCTTTGTTTTTAGATAGTAGAGCATTGAGGAAGTTGCTTCTCCATATGAAATAATTGTCACCGTTCTCCCTTAAAAGTTGAGTAACGCATATTAATTCGGATGATCCGAGGGGTGCAAGTTGAATGGAGATTTGGTATCGATTGCGATACTTGACATATTCGCAATGGGTACCAAAGTAGCTCGATCACCACTTACGGAATCGGTCGACATGATCTGTGAGTAAAAAAGGAAAAATTATATGGGTTATAAACCTAGCTCGATGCCATGAAAAAATTGAAGAAGACAATAAATCTTTTTCTTATGTTGTATATCATACAATACGAGAGATGTATACTGATTTACATTGCATCAAGAAAGGAAAAGGAATCTCATGCACTAAAGGAAAATTATATGATCTAATAATGAAAAGATTATAACCATATTGATACAATATATTTTCCTAAAGTATGAAATAATATAATAGAAAATAATAATGTCAATAATTTCTACCTAGTTTTGCCAACTGTTACAAATTTTCCTGGCTTATCCTAAAAAAACAACACAAAAAGTGTACTTTACTTCTATGCAAGCCAGGATTTCCTATTTAATTCTAGCAAAAAGTCTAATCTATTTTTTCTTAAATTTAATAATAAAAAGAACAATATCTAATGATCAAAGTTGTTTGAAAAGAGCCCTAAACACTTTAGCCATGATCCTGTCATTGCTTTCTAGATCTAAGTACAGGCTGAGGAAGTATGATTAAATAGAGAAGGATCGTTATCTTCGTAATATTTGTTAAGATCTTTTTTTTTTTTTTTTTTTTTGGGTATGTTAACAAATATCAAACCTTCAGTAGTTTTCCAACAAAAATCTGTACTTTGGATTTCATGTATGATTCAGAAAAGAAGGTACATGATATGATTCTGGTAAATTCTTTTGTGAAGCCCCTAATCTTTTCTTTCTTTGCCTGAAAACTACAGTTATGGAGGAAGTCTACCCAAAGACTTCATTGTTCTGAAGTCTGCAAAGAGGATACTAATTTTGGTTGGCGACAAGACGTTGAAGTTATGATTGTGTTAATGTTACAAGGATTCTGAAAACATACTCCCAGTACTCTTTCATTGCAGCAATGTGATGGTAGGCATTTTATAATTCTTTTATGTTATTATTGAATTTCAGTCTTAGTTGTGATAAGCATTTCTCCTGAAACCACTTTTTTTCCACATATTTCTATGTGCAACAAGGATTGTCTTTTTTATTTGCTCCATTCAAATTTTTTGTTTTCTACAACAATATTGATCATATTTTTCATCTATGCTCGTTTAGGTGCTGCATGCATTTCTAGCACAGGTTTGGAGCTCTTGATGTTCGATGAACTTAAGCTTAATCTTTGCTTTGTTGTTTTATGCCTACCAGAGGTTACAACGGACAAGTGAAAGATCAGACCTAGGATATTTTCTTTAATTTTTTATTTATGAAATGAAGGGAGGCAATTCATTTAGGAATGATGTTTGGCACTCCAAAACATGTTCTGTTTCTCTGAATAATAAGTGACACTGTCAGAGATGATAATATGAGATCTAAATTGGAATAAGTAGAGATGGAGCTATTTCCTTTTCTTAGAAACACCGTGCTTACTGAATCTCCTCTTTTCTGCTAAGGACATATTGTAATAAATCGACATATGATTTTTTAAAAGGTAAGCTCCAGCTAACTTTTAAGTCCTTTCTAGCTAATCAAATGATCTTCTGTTCCGATTAGAATTTAGAGTTTCCTCAACTGACGTCTGAAATTGTAAAGCACAAAGATAATAAAAAATTGTATTTGTTCAAACCAAGACAACTATGAAAAATAAATCTAAGTAGCGTGTATGTGTTTAGGTCAACATTATTGATAGGAATAATATAATTGCTCAATTATCATTAATTAAAACAAATGTATTTAGTTTGTGATAGTCACTAAAGCACTAATTATGCTTAATCTTTTGCTTCGCTGTTAGGAATATTGAAACTTATTTGGAAATTACGTAGTTATTTTTACATTTCTGCTTTTCTTTTTTTTAGCTAAAGGTGAAGTTAAAAGATTGAGTCCTAATGTTGACCTTGGGAAGTGAGTTTTGTTTTGTTTTGTTTTTAATATTACATTTATTTATATTTTTTTTACTATGTACTTGTTTTAGTTTTGTGTTTGTTTCTTCTATATGGGGTTATATAAATTTACGCAAGTATTATTGTTCTTAGCTAGATCAAAGGAGATTTTATGGTCTAAGGTGAACCTGACTTGACTATCCTAGAGATTTTGGCAAGATAAAGTGTTTGAGTTTTGATTTTAAATTTATCAAAAACATGATACTGCATAAGAGATCAATATGCATGATATACATTTATTTCATGTAAGAGATATTTTCACAGTGAGAAAGGGGAGTGTTAATTGTCAATTCTGAATTAAACGAGAAAACTGATGGATAAGTTTTTAGTTTCCATAAAGCTCTTGGATCACTAAGTCTATTTGCCTGGTTGATTAAATGAGTTAGAGGCTTTGTAATCTTGTTTTTGTTGATTTTGAGTTACTCTTCTACCTGCTTCTGCAGGTATTGGTTATCAATTGGGGTTCAACCTACAGACACCATGCGTGGCATTCTAATGAGAGCTGGTCTAATAACCCCACCACCGATGGTTGTGATGGGACAGAAAAAGAGACCATCTGGCGATACCTCAAACCCAGAGAAGTCATTCACCCTGTAAAAGTTGCCATTTCTACAGTTTTATATTTTTGGTACGTTTTGTACCTGTAAGCTTGATCCAGTGCTGAATGGGTTAAAAGATAAATTCCCTTTTTTCAGGTTGTTGAATGAACTAGAGTTTAATCTTTTTTTTTTTTTTTTAGTCCATGCCTATGTTCATTATATTTACTCTTAATGCTTACATTCAATGACTCATGATGCTAGGCAAACAAGATTTTAGGTTTTTGTATGAGAAGCCCATAGTTAGCATTACTAAGCAAATCGATGAATGCACTTTAGAGATGTTATGTTGCTCGTTTTTGTTAAGACACGCTTCTAGTTCCTCTTCTCCAAAGACTTCCGGTACTATTGCAACTCTTCCACCTACTACTAACATCATTCACAAAGCAAATGGCACCAATACTTTTGACAGCCCTAGTGCCTACAACCATCACGGAGGTATGTCCTTTCAAGGGCGAGGGCAAGGGCGTGAGAGATTCAATGCCGGTATGGAAAATTTGCATCATCCGACAATAACGGCCCTTGTCATCAATATGATCAATGCACCAAGTGCTAGATTTGCTCGTTTTAGCATCACACTATCGTGTCATCGTTAACCCATTACGTACCTTTATGGTGCCTTGAGATTAGCGTCTCTCACCATGTGACCCCCGATTTGTAGAGTTTCAATACCTATGAACCATACCAAGGACTAGATCATCTCCAAGTTAGCAATTGTGAGTTTTTTCCAAATTAGCATATTGGTAATTGTCATATTAAAATACCAATCAAAATTTACATGTTCTCAATGTTTTACATGTTTCCCAAATAACCGAGACCATTACTTTCTATTCAAAAATTAGCACATGATAATAATGTGTTTTAGGAGTTTCACCATTCTATTTTTTGTCTAAAGGATTAGGAACATAGTGTTAGTGCTTGGTGCCTAAGATCTAACCCTGTTTGGATGGACTTATATTAATATGTTATTACATCATTTATTTTAATAATAATAAAGAAGTCATTCTATTAATTCTTATATTTACATGTTGATAAATTCGGTAGAATTAGATGGAAGTCCTTATGATATGCATTTGCAATAGTGATTGATCAAAAGATGTGAGACAAACACTAATGCACATAAATGATATTATTAAATGTCCTAAGTCGTAGTATTGTTAAGAATGGGCATTGACAATATGCGGATAGACTTATGAATGCTATGCTCATGCTATATGATAGTAATAGGAGATCTCACACCTATTGGCATGGTGATACCAAAGCAAGCACTTATGTGATTTATGTTAGAGAACATATCACCTGGATTTGACTCGTCGTAAGAAACCATTTGGTTTTAGTCTATGGAAATCTCATACGAGATGGGTACAAATGGTCCTTAGACTTAAAGTCATCATGGTTATCTCATTGAAGGACTTATGCACTTTGACACTCGTTTCGATGGACCTATTAATGGGTTACATATGGGTGATTCGTTGGGTGTACTAGGAATCCAATGGAGATAAGTATATGATTAAGATAGGACATATCATTCCTTGTATGCTAAAGGAGTTATCACATTGAACTTTGATAAATGTCTACTCAAGAAATCTGTGGCCACGGTAGGAGTACACCAATAGAGCATAGTTGGTTTACTCTAAGAGCTAAGACATTTGAGAATCGAAAAAAACTTATGTAATCATAATCAAACAAGACTAATAACCAAGTTTGAGATCATACTGCGATAAGTTGACATGAGAACTAAATTGTATGATAAACATGCTCGTGAAAGGTAATAATGGATTAATTAATCCTCCTAGAGAATTGGATAGTCATGAAGTCTTACTAGAGGCCAATCTTGATTTATATATCAAGAGATGAAAGAGGATTCTTTTATTTTTGATACATTGTCAATATATCTAGGAACATATTGAGTCACACGTATAAGTTCAAGTATTCACATTATAAATGAGAAGCAAAGATATTGGAAAAAATTTCCTCCTAAAGTTTCCAATTATGAAAATTTTCCTAAAAGAGAAAGTTTCCCAAAATGGAAAGTTTTCTATTTTAGAATCGGTTTCCTAATTTGGAAGTTAGTTTCAAATTTGGAAATAAAGAACCTAAAAGAAAAGGAGTTTCCTAATTTAGGTTAAATGGTATTTTAAGAAATTGTTTCCTAATGTGGACCCCTGCTAAAATAATCTAAAAATATTTATTTGGATAGTCCAAATAAATTAATTGGGCTAAAATATTTTTGGCCCATTAGGTTTAATTAAAATCCTTAAGATAATTTTAGTGGGAGGATTAACATCAACCTTATTTGATAAGGGTTAATGTTTTAAAGATAAATATTAACCTTATTGGATAAGGTTGAATGTTTTAAAGATAATGATCAAGTAGTCCATATATAATATAACTCATCATCCTTGGAGGATAAGGAAGCAACAACCTAGAGTCCTTATAGCCACCTCTCTCCTTGTCCTTAAAGGATAAGGAAACTTTCCCCTTATAAATAGGAGGAGATATGTGGCATAAAGGTGAATGACATAAAAAGAGTATTTTTGCTCAAGTAAAATTATAAGATAAAATTCAGCCAATAAAAGAGAGAAAAAAACGAAAAAATTTGACCAACCCCTAAAATCATCTAGGGCACATAGCTAAGAGAGAAAAAAGGGAGAAAATAGTTTTCTCCTAAAAGCCCTAGCAAGAAATACTCCTACCTTCTCTCTTAAGGTTATTGCAAAGTTGCTCGAGATTGATTTCTAGAGGAAATACTCAAGCGAGAAAAGGTGGAGCTAGCACCCTATCAATTTTGAGTGCTTCTTTATAGATATTTGGGCTACATGGATCATCAATAGAGGCTAGACACTTGGACGGCTAATCAAAGAAAAGAAATTTAGATCTACACTACAAGAGGTAATCTTTTACTTTTAGCTTATTATTCATGTATGTATGATTAGTAGATTCAACGGCATGATCTTGGGCCTTTAGATGGAGGAAAATTTTTATTTATTTTGCAGCTCTATAGGATGCATGATCCTTCACACGGGACAACATTTCTTCCATGCCGAATGATGCTGATCGATACAAGTTAACTCCTCAATTTATCCAATCCGAGTCCATAAGTCCACTCTATCATCGGCTTTGTAAATGTTTGGCACTTCGATTGGGTCATCCCTATCACGAGTACTTGAATTCTATTTTGAAAAGATATTCTTTATCTTTCTCTTTTAAATTATCTAGCTTATGTTTATTTTGTCCATTAGGAAAAGCAAAGCGTTTATCTTTATCTTCTTCCAAAAACACTTGGTTGTGGAGTTTTAAAATTATTTTTTAGTGATGTATGAGGTCCTTTACCTACTATGTCCATTGAAGGTCATACATATTATGTCATATTTGTTGATCATTATTCAAAATATATATGGTATTTTCCCTTATGAAAAAATCTAATGTGTTTGACACTTTTCTTAAATTTCAAAAAAATGGTTGAATGCCAATTTAATTGTTAGATAAAACAAGTCCAAGCCGATTGGGGTGGCAAAATTTTTCACTTTAAATAAATTTGCTCAATCCATTGGCATTATTCATCGTATTATGTGCCCGTATACATATGAATAAAATGGGACGAGTTGAAAGACGATAGTGCCATATTGTGGAAACCGACCTCACCTTACTAGGTAAAGTAGGTGTTCCTAAAAAATACTAGCATGATGCTTTTGAAACAACTTGTCTTTCTCATAAATCGGCTACCCTTAAGTGTTACCATGTATAAATCTCTATTTCAAATCATCTTTAAAAAAACCTCTAGACTATTCCTTTCGAAAATTTTTTGTTGTCTTTGCTTTTCCTTTCTATGTCCCTATAGCAAACACAAAAAGGATTTTTCTCCACTCTATATGTTTTCCTTGGATATAGTCCTGTCCACTTGGGGCATCGATGGCTTGATAGAAAAATAAATCACACCTATATTGTCCGTCATGTTCGTTTTATTGAAACCATTTTTCCATTTGTAGAAGTAAAACATTCCATTAATACTTTTATCCAAGTCACTTCTTCTTTTTTGATTGGGCATGTCTTCCAATTCACTCTCACTTTATTTCTTGTATAGGTTAGCATCACTTTGTGTTGCCCTTGATTCCTATGTCCCCATCTCAAAACACTACCCATTTAACATCCAAATGTGATTTCTTTCCAAATCAGTTGAACAAACCATCGGCATCCATAAAGAACTGCCATGCCTAATCAACCTCTAACATAAACAAATTGTTAGGTTTCCTTTGGACTTAATCAAGTTTACACGCAGCGGAAAAACATAAACTTTACCATAGAAACATGCCAAGATCACATGTATGTTAAAATAATCAATAAAGGTTGAGACTTTTACCTTGAGTTAGATGTCGAATCTTTATTCAATAAGGTGAGCTCGAATCAATTTCTCTTCCTTGCTCCTTTTTCTATCGATTTGAACAATAAGAGACACTCGCCTTAACGCGAATGCTCTCTACCATCTCACATATAAAAACCTATGGGATTAGATTATGTGTGCTAGCACTTAAACAATCTCACTTTTATTAATTGATGATTTCGAGTTTTGAAGAGAGAAAGAAGAGAGGGGCGGCGGCCTTGAGTTAGGAGGAGAGCAAAACCTATTTTCTCTCTTCTTTTATGTGTGCCCAATCTTTCCAAGAGTTAGTAGGATAGCAAAACCTATTTTCTCTCTCTTATATATTTTATTAGCAATAGATTTGTTTTCAATTTGGATGGCAATCTACTTCCTAAAAAATAGGGATCACATTCCTAATCAAATTCCTCTTTAATTATTCTACAAGAATAAGGACTCTTTCTCTCCTTTTAATTAAATAATTTATAATCATTTAATTAAAATACTATTAGGGCTGAATTTAACATTTAAATAAGCCCCGACTGAAAATCAACTTAAGCCCACTCAATTATGTTTTAATTAATAACATAATTTAATGGCCCGATAAGTGAGATAGTTTAAATCCAAATCCAGGTTTTTAAAGTGTGCAATCCCGTAGGTACATTCTATGTTGGCAATGGGCCTAAATCCAATTTATGGACCATAAATCATAAGTAGTCTCTTGTAAGACATTATGACTACCGAAACTGAATGAATGTCAATATAAATTAACGTAACCTAGTTATAACCTTATACAACCCTTTGCCTCTCGATATCATGATCAACATAAGGCAAGGAACATGTCATCCTTATTTATTGCTAAATCATTTCTTGATCTATTAGTGACACTAACTAAATCAAATAAATGATAACACTTATCATTTCATTTAGGCATGGCCATGCACTACTCGGTTTCACTAATCAAGTGGCCGGTGATATGTTCTCTCAATAAAGAGAGTGGCAATCCCTTCACTTCATTCATGTTTCTTAGCATGAATCGTGGCATACCCAATCATACCCATACTTGTCATTTAGTTATAAATGACATTAGGCGTATGTCAAAAATGTGCAAGGATTCATCTAAGAATCCATAACGATTTCGGGTTGAGGGGTTCAAGTATAAGCATTTGCATGAGAATCACTTATGACTTTCAACCATATAGTGTTCTCATGCGCGGATCGATCCAAATACATTGTTCC